AAAATAACTAAAATTTATATGTATGAATTCTAAACTGAGACGGGTTAAATATATATATATATATATTTCTTAATAATGTAAATTTAAAATTTAAATTAATGATTTATTTTAATTACGTTATTTGTTTAAAGGCTTGTCAAATTATTTACGGCGACAGGTGGATTGTATGTCTGTGGCCATAAATCTTACATTTTTTCCCTTATTTTCATTTTTGCCACTTTACCTTTTTTTACCACAATTTTCCTATAAACTGTGGCGAAAAAATATGTAGTTAAAATTATATTTTGTACTAGTGATGTGTCAACCCCACCTCACGCCACGTGGCATTATGTCACCCTTCATATGTCGTTCCCACCATACGCCACGTATTATCATGTCACTAATTTATATTTCCATTTTAAAAGTTATCTCCTCCAAGGTTTGAACCCATGACCTCCTCCTTTGGTGTTCAACCATTTTGTCACTGAACTAGAATGAACCTATAGTCTATTATTGCATAATAAAATATATATACATATATATACATATTATTAAACTATACAAACACACATATATATTAAATATTAAATATTATAAAATATCATCACTATCCTTAAATACTTCAATTTAATTATTTTAATTTATAAAATTGCAAATTATATTATTTATTTTTTTAAAGTAAACTATAAATATAATTGATACAATATTATTTGTATTATTTATTTTAATTTTTTTTACTTCTTGAGGTTGTTATATTATTTATTTTAATATTCATATTTATAATTGTAATATAAAAAATATCTATGAATAACTAGTAAAGATACTGATGATTATACATTAGTTTATAATTATTTATGTTTCTAAACTGGCATCAAGCTTTAAAGTTACTGGTGTTAAATGTAAAATTTAAATTAAAAAATTAGGTTAGATAAAATATCATTCTATGAATAAATAAATTTAAGTATCACATGTTTAATTATTATAAACAAGTAGTGTTATTGACTTCTATGTTGATTTGATAACTTATGCTTTCTCTCTCTTCTCTTCTATCTTGAATATTTAAGATTTTTCACTTATTAGTTATAATTTTAAATTTAATTTGTTTTAGTTATTAATTAGTCAAAAAATATATATATTAAAAATTTCATGCTTATTTTGACCACTAAACATCTCAACTGGCTTTCGAATAAAATTATCCAAATAAATTTTAGTTTATCTAACTAACTTTAAAAAAACATAAATCATGTTACATTTACTGACTTTTCTTCTAACCTTAGTTTGCTAACCTCAGTTAAATCTTAACCTTAGTTGTAAATTTTTTAATACAAACACACACGTAAAATAATATGGTTTGGCTTAATTCTTTACTTTAACTTATTAGCATTAAATAATATTTTAACCTTATCTTAAAGTTATAATTTAACTATAGAATATATATTAAATGAAAACTCATTATGTTATTTTTTATGTTCATTATAAAATTATAATAATACAACAAAATTAATGTCTTAAAATGTTAAATATTAGATAAATAAAAATAAAAAATTATGAAAAAGTTAAACTTTCAACGGCGACATTAAACGTCGCCACTAAAAGTCTCATTTTCAGCAGCGATACTAAAAAGTCACCGCTAATTTTTAACTTTCAGCAGCGACTTATATATCACTGCTAAAAATTACAACATAAGTTTTTTTTTAAAAATTATAACATATTTTAAAATATGTTGACAATCAGTGGCGACATTAAAAAGTCGCTGCTGATTCTCAACTTTCAACGGTGACTTATATGTCGCCACTGAAACTTACAACATAAATTTTTTAAAAAAATTATAACATATTTTAAAATATGTTGACAATCAGCGGCAACATTAAAAAGTCGCTGCTAATTCTCAACCTTCAGCGGTGAAATACACTTGTTGCCGCTGAAAGTTTGACAATCAACGATGACTTTTTAATGTCGTTGCTGAAAGTTACTATTTTAATGGTGATTTTAAATGTCACCACAAAAAGTCACACTTTTAATGGCGACTTCTACTATTACCACAGATTGTTCATTTTCAACGATAACTTTTTAGAGTCGCCACTGAAAGTCTTTTTTTTTTTTTGTAATGCACTCTCTCTCTCTCTCTCTCTCTCTCAAGCTTTAAAAGAACTTGTCAAACTCTTTCTCCACTTTGCTTCACTATTGCATTGTTTTTTAGGTTAGGAAATGCACCCAATTCACTTTTTATTAGTTGTAAGCCTATCTAACAAGAAGGATAGGCTTAATTTTTGAAAACTTGTTTGGCATGTATGAATAAGGTTTTTCCTTTTCTACTATAATATTTTCCATTGTACTAGGTGTAATATCCTTTTTTTTTTACTATGATAAAGGCCATATGTTTTGAATCCTTTTCTATTGTAGTAATATACATATGTGAGTAGTTAGATCCTTTTATATTACGGTAGCATGCTACTGAATTTGTAATATATAATGTATATTGGTTTCTTTTTAGTGTGTGTATATATATATATATTGATGGCATATTAAATTAAAATTTCACCACAATATAGTTTATATACATGTATCTCTTCGCAAAGTATTTTATAGATATTTTTCCTGCAACCTCGAAATCCTCATTGTGAAATGGCAGAAAATTAATGGCACCCAATCCATTCGAGTTAGCGAACCTAAAATAAAATTGTTTTTAGGATCCATATGTCACAATTTCACATGGAGATATTTTCAAGTTAGACCACTTGCAGACACAGGCAAATATATTATAATCATAAAAGTCAAACACGACACAAAAATTAGAAATTACACAAATTGGATAGAAATTACCCAATTCTATCCACAGCCATCAAAATGCTGTTGCATTTCACAAAAATTCTCAGCTGTGTTTCGCTGCTAATTATTAGAATATCAAATTTGGCCTTCTATAAACCCAATTTAGCATATATTCTTATATGTGTGTGATTTATAACCAACTTTTGCAAAATAAAATATTAACCCAAGGATGGATTCTGCAAATGGAAAATAAAATTGATTTTAGAAAATTGGAGTTTGCAAACGAAGACTAAGTTTTAAAAACAGGCAGCCAAAGACAATACTATACACCCACTACTATTCTAAACCTAATGTTATCAATTTCTATCTGAATATTGTGATTTCTCCACTTATGTCATTAGTTATGAAACGAAGCCACCCAAAATTCTCCACAAACCACAACATAATCAGCCTTCTATCAAACAGAACTTTAGACAAACACTGAAGTCACAAAACTGCAATAGAGAGAAGAATCTAGTCAGTGATACACTTATACTTGGAATCACTCAGGAGTACAGGACTAACACTTATGTAATATTTGGTAAGTAAAAAAGTGATTTCTAGAAATGAAATAAGAAAAACGCTTATCCTTTTCTTTGAAGGTTTATTTCCATTTTTCATTTCTGAAAAATATTTGTATATTGATTGTTTTCCATATCCCTCCAACGCATCAAGTATGAGTCATGAAAAATTCACACTCTAACTAACATAGATAAATACTAGGTAAATTTTCTTTTGAAAAAATATATTTAAATTATAAAAGTTTTTACTAAAAAATTATGCGAAATTCCTTTAAAATCAATTCCTGATAAACAATACTATTAATTATAATACAATCTCTTTTATTATTTAAAACATATTTAATTAAAAAATAAATTTCATTACGATGTCATTTGTTTTGCATTGAAAAAGAATGAATTCAAATTCATTCTAAACTTTTATCAAATTTCTAAAAAAATTTATGTATCATTTGCTCATATATTATTGTTATGTCAAAATTATCTTTACATTTCTTCTTCATAATTTCTTGAGCTTACTATTTTTAATAATTATTGATTTATCAACAAATAATTCTAAAATTACCAAATTTAAGAGTAAATAATCAACCAAAACACATCTTTGGTCCTTTAAATTTATATAAGGTTTCATTTTATTCTCTTAATATTATAAAATATTTTTTTCAATCTTCTAACCCTAACATCATAAATTTCATTAACAAAAATTTTTAACATTGAACTTAATGACAATGATTGGCACAAAAATTATCATTTGGGGCTAACAGTATTAAAGTAAAAAAACTGAAAAACATAGTTTATAAAATTATGTAGCCAAACTAAAACCTCATATACATAGTTATATATAGGACCAAACTGCTAAATGATAATCATAATTGTCAAATAAATAGTGCATCCAAATTGACACCTTCAATTAATGCTTACTCTTCTAGTTTTATTTATAAGATAAAAAAATAAGATCATTTTTGTTTCTATTTATAGGATACTTTACTATTTTTTATGTTCATCTTTACATTTTCATCCTTATTAAATATTAAAAAAATTATTAAAAATAATTTTTTTGTCTTTATTGGAAGGTAGAAATGAAAACTTAATAAATTTTAAGACAAAGTTACTAAATTTTATGATTTTTTTTATTCTAATGAAACATGCTAAAAATAAGTTATAAATAAGATTAGAAGAAGTATTTTTCTATTTGCATGATTTTAGTTTTTGTATTTATTTAAGAGATATTGAATTTCTTACCTCCACTCAATTAATTTAGTATAAAGGACTCGTTGTGATTAATTTATTTAAATACACAAATAATTTACAATATATTGAATTGATGCCTTGATCTAATCCATCTCCATATATGTATGTATGTACGTATAGGATATATAGTTAGTTTTTGTTGGCACAATATTTATGATGAGTCATAAATATTGACACTCACAAATGGAGGGCGCGTCCCTTGTAAAAAGGGCCATCCAAAATTGCATAATAATGCAAAGAATGCTGTCGCTTTCTCCCTCATCTCTCTGAAACGCCATTGATTAGCATCTCAAACACAGTGCCAAGGGGACTATCTCTTTCTATTTAATAAAGCCTCGTATAATATTTATCTAACTATAAAAACATGTCACTTGATTGATCCCCCACACCCACCTGCATTCTCCAAGCTTGCTTCCTTTTTCATTTGAAATTAAACCTTGAGCAGCTTGCACAAGCTACTAGTTCACCATGAATCCTGCAGATATTGCTCGCATCGTTGTCGGCATCCTAGGTGGGTGAAATTCCTCTCTTGCTGTTTTACTATTAATTAAACATGCTTTTTTAGGGTTAGAAGCTTCCTCTAAGTAAGGGCCTCTAATGCGCCTCTTTTTTTCAAGTTTATGACTTCTAATGTGGAGTTTTCTAACCTCCTTTGTATTGTCCTGCCTCCTCAACTTTATTTTTCCTTTTTTTTGGAATCATTCGATTTTACATAACATAAGAGACATTTTGATACTTTATGTGATAAAGTTTTGTATTTTTATGATTTTTTAAGAGAAATATCAAAATTACACACTATTATATTTGAAATATCATAGAAAATACAAAACTCTATTATCATTTTGGAATAGCTAGATATTAAAATGTTTATTTTTTTAGGTACAAATCAATGATCCAAAAAAAAACAAAGAAATTGGGGGAGGCGGGACTTTACATAGGATACTAGGAAAAAGCATTTCAGTTTTTATCATTTTTATTTTATATGACATTGTATCGATTATGAGAAATGATTGACACACTATTCATAATTTGCGAAAGGTGCAATTCATTATATTTTTATTTTATATTAATATATTTATATGGCTGATTTTCAACGTATAAGCATAATTTTAATTTTTAAACTAATTAACCCAAACCGACTTCTGTGATGCTCTCTATTTTTCCGCAGATCCTCTGTTGTTCATTCTTGACCGTTCCGAAACATGTGTTTCATTTTTATTTAATCACTTTAGTAAATAATTTACCAATATAATGTTGTAAGAAAAATCTAAAGGTAAATGCATAAATGAATTGGGTCTTTAATTTATACCTCATTTCTGTGTTACTCTCACCCTGAGGACTCAATCTTTAGTAGGGAATCTTTCGTGTTTTATTTCTTTCATATATAATTAATTAGCTGATAATCCTTTTTTTTTTGGGTAAATTAATTTAACCTGCAGGAAATATCATCTCGGGCTTCATGTTCTTGTCCCCACTGTAAGTAAACGATCAGGAGAATATGAATTAATGCTTAATTCAAAACAAAAACTTTTTAGTCATTACACCATTTGCCAGCTTATATATACAGTGGTGGAGGGAGGGGATTGGCAAGAGCCATCGCTTTCCAAGTTTAATTTCCAACTTTTATCTTTTATGTTTTTAATATTATTAGCTAGTATTATATATACATATATATATATATATATATATTTATTTATCCAATCCCTTGAAATATATTCAAAATTTATATTATATATGATTTTCAATATCAGTGCTCATTGACCATAATATCTTTTGATGATGAACGGTATTTTTTATTATGTTTTAAAGAAAAATATCTTAAAATTGAACAATTTTGAATTATATTTTAAACAATTGTAAAATGGTATTTTATAAGCCAAGGAGTATCTAAAATTTTAAATTGGTTTTCAATACATTTTCACCTCAAAACATTTAAAATTATGACAATCTCTTCTTATCATTAACTTTGACCATTAGTTAATTCAAAAATTACATAAAATGATTAAAATAAATGTAATATGTTCCTTGTATTTATTGTAATTTAGGAAATTTATTTGATATTACTTTTCTTATTATGTAGTACATTTTTGTAATCTTAATTAGGTTATGAGATTTTGAAATCCTTTTCTGCAATTTTATATCATTAACTAACTGTCAAAATTAATGGGAAGAGGAAGATTGTCACAATTTCAAATGTTTAGGAATGAAAGTACATCAAAAATAAGTTTAAGATCCCATATACTCTTAAGTCTATAGTTTAAGAACTTAATTATCATTTTACTCTATGTAAAAAAAAAATTCTCTTTAGAATCAAATGATCATAACAAAAAAAAAAACAGTGAAAAACAATTGAAAAGTAGAGATATTACGTGAAGCATTAAAGGGAATATGAATATTTGTGAATAAACTGACATACAGGCCAACATTTCTGGACATATGGAGGAAACGATCGGTGGAACAGTACTCGGCGATGCCGTATTTAGCGACGCTAGTGAACTGTATGGTGTGGACGCTATACGGGTTGCCGATGGTGCACCCGAATAGCATGTTGGTGCTGACGATAAACGGGTCGGGTTGTGTGGTGGAGCTGATCTACGTCATCGTCTTCCTCATATTCTCCGGACGCACCAAGAGGCTCAAGGTGTTTCTGTTCCTTCTCATCGAGATCCTTTTCATCTCCGCCCTCACCGTCCTGTCCTTGACGCTCTTTCACACCGTCAAGAAACGATCGGCCGTCGTCGGAACCATTTGTGCTCTTTTCAACCTCATGATGTATGCTTCCCCTTTGACCGTCATGGTTAGTATTATATTTTTCTTACATACCTTTTCTATTACATATAGTTCCTCTGATAAAATTGTTATACATATTTTGAAATGCGATAAATATATCATATTTTCTCTGTCCTAATTTATAAAATATTTTTTGTGTTGTTTTGATGTTATATTTTTATAAGACATTTAAAAAAAAAGTTTTATTAATAATGATTGTTTCAATTTATCCTTCATTATTTCACTGCTAAAACTAAATTTTCTTCTCTCTTTTATTAACGAAATGTATTCTTAAAAATTTATAAAAAAATTAAGATTGCAAATTAAACTGCATTTAATAAATTTAATTGGTATGTATGAATTTGCTAAAAAAATATCTTATAAAAAAGAGACAATTTTATTAATCACAAAAAAAAATTACGGACATGAAACACCAATAGCCAAAGCCAAATCAAACACTTAAAAAACGTATACAAAACAAACTAACAGACAAAATCTCACCAAAACACAAACAAGAAAAAAAAAACACAAATATACAAAGAGCATTGGATATGCTTACCCTACCAATTAAAGTTAGCAAATTGTAGGGACTCTCTTCACTTGAATAAGTGGTTGAGGTTTGAATCTCAATCACTGTATATATAGCATACAAAATAGTTAGAAGATGATTACCATTTGCTCCCATTATCTTAAAGAAAATAATCTCTACTACCAACAAAATTTACCCCTTAAAGTTATAAAAATAAATTGAAAAATGACAGTGAGATTTCAAAATGACTAATTAGTTTAACCTAGTTCTTAGGTGTCAATCTTCAAGAATTTGTAAGTTTAACTTTTAATTTTGCAACTTTATTTTGATGAATTTGCAACTTATTTTTTTAAATTTAAATATAGTTAAAGAATAAATAAATTTATTTTTCTTGTTAAAATATGAAACACAAATTGCAAATTCATCGTCATGAAATTGCAAAATTAAGAACCTAATTTGTAAATTCCTAAAATTTGACACTTGAGATCTAATTTAAATTAATTGATTCATTTGCACTTCTCTGCCATTCTCCAAAAATAAAAATATATATATATATATATGCATGTACTCGACAAAGAATTTTTTTTGTTTCAGTGAGAGATTTGTTGGAGAATAATTAATAAACATTTTTATAACTATTTTTTGAACCATGAAATTTATCAGGAATCTCTGGGCTACCTACAGCTTTCTCAAAAGCAAAAATGATGAATACGTTACATGCCCACACACGATAAAGTAAATTAAATGGGATTTAATGATCAAGACATGGTTGTGCTTGCAGAAATTGGTGATCACTACGAAGAGCGTGGAGTACATGCCTTTCTTTGTGTCTCTGGGCACGTTTGGGAATGGCGTCGCTTGGACTACCTATGCTCTTATCCGTTTTGACCCATTCATCGCTGTAAGTATACATAATATACCCAAAAAATGTATAACAGATGACCAATCGTTAATATGAATAAAAATAATAATAACACAAGCTATATATATATATATATATATTGTGTTTGTTTGTGAGGCAGATACCAAATGGGATTGGATTGTGTTTATCGGTGGCTCAGCTGATCCTGTATGCCACGTATTACAAGTCCACGAAGCGGCAGATTGCAGAAAGGAAATTAGCAGCCAAAGGGCAAGTGGAGCCCACGCTCTCCGAGGTGGTCGTCTTTCCTAATCCTACACTTCCCAAATGATCTCTCTTTCTCCCGAGTCACAGCTATTCACTCGTTAATAAAGTTTTCGTATTAACGATACGATTTGATCTTACGGTGTTATGAACCATAAGTCAAATCCTTATTAATTGGAGGAGCCTTTGTCGTTGTTGTTGTTTGTTTTTTTCTTTTTCTCTGAATAAGTTTCCATTTTAATTTTCTGTCTCTTTTCTGCTTTCCTTCTCGTTGTTGTTTTGTTGTTATTAATCCCATCTCATCATCAATGCTCTCAGATAAGATGATCGAGAGACCTTAATTATCTTCACAATGTTTTTGTTTTCTTTGATGACAATCAATGGGCCAGCTAGGCTCAGCAATGTTGGCTTGGGCCTTCTACCTTTCCCCTCTATGCATTCGAGTGCCTTGAAAGTACGAGTCCATATTGATTTGCGTTTTTTTTTAAGAAAATAATTAAGTAATGCTGGTTGCTTTTTTATAAATAAATATAAATATGATGTTCAATTCAATTAATTATAGATCGTCAAAAAAATTCAATTAATTATTACGTGATGATTGAAATAATACACTTGAAAGCTGGGAAAAAAGTAATAATAATACATACATACATATAAAACTTAATTTCATGATTATAAAAATTGGGTAATAATTAATCTTTGGAAAATAACTATGATACAATGGTTTCATGCCCTAAAAATATTTATTTTTCCTCTAATTACAAATGTTAACGAATTAAACTAAATTATATCAAAACAAATATTAAAAATTCAAGGAAAATATGGTAAAAATATATAAATAATTTGAATTATCAAGTATATAGAAGCATAAAGCATGGTTGGTGTCTAAAGGCTATGCTCAATAACAAGGAATTGATTTTGATGAAACTTCTTCTCCCATAGCTCATTTTGAAATGGTAAGAATCTTTTTAGCTTTAGTTGCTTAACTTTAATGGCACCTGTTTCAATTTGATTTTAAATCAAACTTTTTGAATGGTGAGTTGAAAGAGGAAATATATGTTTTTCAATTGAGAAGTTCTATTGTTGATGGTGAGAAAAGTAAAGTATATGAGTTTTAAAAGGCTTTGTGTAGCCTTGAACAAACTTCACATCCATGGTATCATCAAATTGATCACTACTAGTTTTATGAAATGATGTTAAAAGGAGTGATAATGGGCCCACTCTCTATTTGACATAGCATGGTGATTCTAATTTTTTGTGGTTAATTTCTATCCATGTTGATTATATGATATATATATATATATATATATGGAATCTTATGAAAAAGTCAAGTATGATAATAAAAAATTGAAATATCAGATCTAGGATTATTGCATTATTTTCTTGGCTTATTAGTTGAGAAAAGTCTTGATGGTATAATTCATTTCTCAAAGAAAGTATGCCATAGATCTACTCAAGGAGCTCAGAATGTTGAATTGCAAAACACATTGTCCAATGAATGTGAAAGAAGAATTGAGAGCTGAAGATGGTACTAAAGCTACAAATAACTACTAGAAAAATTAGAATTAGGGACATAATGTTTTTTTGACAGATTTCCAATCTATCACTAATCATAGACATTAGTGATAGAAATTCAATGACAAACTAAAATATGTAACTAATTGCATAAATTAATGATGGATTAGTGACAAATATAAAATGTCATTACATTTTTAATCAAATTTTACAAATTTAGTGATTGATTTATTAAATATTTTAATTAGTGACAGATATTTTAATTAAAAAATTAGCAAAATGTATTTAAATATTTTATAAATTTTTTAAAAAAATATAATATACATAAAGTCTCGCATATAAACTATTCAAAATTACCAAATTAAACAATTACATAATTATTTTTATATTATAATAAAAATATATAATATAAAATGATACAGACAAATAATAATAATAATAATAATAATAATAAATATTTTTTATTTTATTATGTAAATTTACATATAAAAAATAAAATTTTTATCATCTAAAAATATTTTAATTATAACATAGATAATATCAAATGATTTGTAAAATATTTAATTTAATTATATACACTAATTGATTTTAAATAATATTTATTGATTTATATATTTATATTTATATTTTAATAATATTTACTTATTAATAATATGTATTGATTTATATATCTATTTGTGTTACTATGTGTGTGTGTGTGTGTATATATATATATGATAATGTATTATTGTCAATAAATTTACATAATAATAATAATATCTGAAATATATAAAAAATACATTAAGTTACATATATGTGTAATATTATGTAATATATATTAAATTTTGTATATTAAGATTGAAATGTCATAGTAGCTCTAACTTTGAGCCAAGGCAGTGTCACAATTTAAAGGAAATTAAAACAAGATGCTGACATGGCAATGATGTGGCATAGAGGTCTAAGTAAAAATGATGCGGTGGGTGGTGGATGATATGGGTGTGATGTGGTAGTGATTGGACCTATGAAAAAACTTTTAATTATAAAATAAATTAGTAACAAAAATATAACACCCTAATTTTTATTTGGAAATTTAACTGAGGATTTGTATAATAGGGGTTTTATTTGATTGAGGTTAATTAACTAGTTTAGGAACTTAATTACAATTAAAATTAGGTCTAGGATAATGAATGAGGGTTATTTGGAGTCCAAGATAGATGTTAGCTACAATTGGACCTAACAAGTTGGGCTTAAGTGAGGATTTTCATTATTGTACTTTTGGCCACAACAAACACTACAAAAAAAAATAGTGCATTAGTAATAGAAAATTTTATCACTAATCAATACAAATTAGGTTGCTAAAAATGTTAGCGATTGAATAAGTCCATAAATAAAAACACCATCACTAATTTGTTAGGATGGAATTTTAAACTCCATAGATAATTAGCAAAAGAATTAGTGATGAAATTGCAATTCCATCACTAATTAACAATGAAATTAGCGACAAAAATTTTTCATCCCTAAATAAGGATAAGTTATTCCAATTTTGTAACAGAATACATTTTGTTGCTAATCCATTGCAAATAAAAATTCTATAAAAAATCACCATTGCCCCATTACCTAGTAGGCTAGTGCCACCTTATCATCCCCTCCCTACCACATCACTGCCATGTCAGCACGTTCCTATCATGTCACCTCCACATCATATATTAACTTCAAATGTGCCTTGGTGTAACATTCAAAATTTTTAAATCTGAAATAAATTGCTAATTAAGGGACAAATTAGTTAAGAAAATGATTGATTAATTTAATCATGTTTTTGAGTTGTTAATTGCCTTTTTGGTTTATATTTGGCTCTAAATTGAGTCAAAATAGAAGTTAGATTGAATCAGGTGGCATTGAGGAGAGTAAAAGTGAGTTTTTGCTCTCTGCATCGTGAGCCACAACTTGTGTTCCATGAGTTGTGGCACATGGCACAGCACAAACAGCATAAAATATGAAAATGATCAAAGAATGGTAGTTTTGGTAGGGGAAAGCCTAGAACTCAAAGGAGGAAAATTTAGGCACTGCTAGGACTTTAACGTGGGAGGATTTTGAAGGTAATTTAGGCCTTCAAACTCTTAAGTAAGTTTTTCACCTTTCTTTTCTACCTCTACATCTCTTTTTTATTGGATTTGGGAAGTGATGAATTTGCTCTGAATGGATTATGCTATAACTCTATGTTTTAAAGACTTTAAATGAATCTAAAGGGTTGATTTGAGTTTTTTAACCTTGGATCAATGGTAAAATGAAGCTTTTTTGTTATTTGGTGTAAATTGGACTAAGCCTTAGCTTAATTTTAGGGTTTTGAGGTGTGACAAGTTGAGGTGTCAAGTGTTATATTGTGATAGAGTTAGAGAAAAGCTTGAGAGGATTGTGTAAACAAATTGTAATTTTGACAAGCTCTTTGTTGAGATTAAGAGTAAAAAGTGGGAGAATTGGAATGATAATTGTAGCTAATAGTACTTGTGTTAATTGAAGATTAACATTAGTACTTGTTGTTATAGATTGAGGTTTGGGAAACCTTACCTTGACACAAGAGGAGATTTGGTATCACAAGTAACCCTTTTAATAACAAAAGGATTAGGGTAATTAGATAATTTACATTATTTATTATCTTGTATAAGTTACTCACGAGTTGTTTTTGGATGATTGGTTGTATATATATGTATATATTGTAAAAGTTAAGTATTTTAGAAAATATGTGGAGTATTGATTTATGAATGTTATGTTTTTGAAGTAAGTGAAAAAATCCATTATATTTGTATAGAATGTGGTTATGCATGGACAAGTAAAGATATGTAGTGAAATGTAAAATGTTAAAGAGTGGAAGGTCACCCTAGTGAAGTTAATGGAGATTAAATCCATATGGCACTACTGGCACCTTGAAACACTAGGTGCAGCTCATATTTTTCTTTAGCACCCAAAAATGGTGCGGTGTTGGAGAGTTATTCTCTTGAGTACCCAAAAAGATGTAGAGTTAGAGATTATGCTCCTTAGCATTCGTAGGATATGATGTTGGAGTAATGGCACCTTAATTACTTATAATAAGGGGAACTTGTAGTCTAAAAGTGGCTTAGGACACCTTAGCCGGGTAGTCCTACCATGGATGATGAGCTTGAGGGCTATACACATGGTTTAGTTCTGTGAAATAGCCTACCGGTTTGGTAAAGAGTATTAGAGGATTAGATGATTAGTGTATGGTGTGTTTATTATGCATATCTTAAAGCTTGTTTATAACTTGGCATATTAATCGATAATGTAAATTATTTTAGATACTGAAATTTTTATCTCATCCCATGGTTATTATTTTATAGGTTCTACTGTCGAGTTTGAGCAAGAGAAGGAATCAAGTAAGGATTAGCTATTTAGCTCCACTTGTACTTGTAATGCCCGATTTTATTTTGAGTTGTGTACATAAACTTAAATGTATGATAACATGAGTTGCCAACTAGGAATACATGTCATTTTGATTGATTGCATTTGTATTATACTATGTTATTTTGTATTTTAGCTTAATGTTGTATATGATGTGAATATGTGGTGATTTTTGTGGTGAAAGGCTAAAATACTAATACAAGTGCAAGAAATGTTGTATACGTATGGTGATAATATATATTTAGTATATTATATGAAAATAGAGGCCAAATGGTGTATGATTATGATTTTGTGACTTTGGCCATATTAGGTGAAACTAGCATTAAGCGGCTAAATTTTGTATTTGGTGTGTTATTATGTGTTAAATTCTCAATAGGTGTATATTGGTCC